AAGAGTATATGGTGAAGGAGGTATCAGTATTTGGTAATTATCTATCATTTATCATCAACGTGTGTGTGTATGTGTGTGTGTGTGTGTGTGTGTGTGTGAATTATAAGTTTGGGTAGAAAGATAAAGTCGATAATGGAAATCAATATACTTGAGATAAGCAAATTTTTAAAAATCAGTTTCTCTTGGGGGGCAGTAATATAGCTGTGTTTCCCTGAGAGCCAGTTCAGCTATTTGACTCGATGATGGTCTGTTCAGTTCACACATAATTTGATTTATATTTTCAAGTGCTAGGAGCTCTGTCTTCAGGAATATTAAGCTCAACCTGAACCATTCGGTGAACTGGGAATTATTAGAGAGAACAAGTCTGAAATGACAATGGAGAAGTACAAAGAGTCACACTCTGGCTTTGGAAGGGTCATTTTTTTCACTAATGTGTAGCTGTCACTGTGAGAAAGTAAGGGGCAATTGAACGGTTGAACTTTGTGAAATGATCTGCCTCTGGATATAAAGAATCACATGGTATGTCTAATAATTCTCTTTTGCATATATATGTGTGTATATATGTAATTTATATGTAAGGTATCCATAAGTAAATAAATTAAGATGATTTTGAATTCTACAAGTAATGATTTTTCTGGTTCACACAAATGGCAAGAATAGTCTAAATTGGCTTTATGAAATAAGTGCGGTTGGAGTAAATGGCATCCTGAACTGATCCTGAGTATTATGTAGATAATTTAAGGGGGAGAGGACTCACTGGGATAAAATAAATACACGCAGCAAAAAAACTTTAATATTTTCATTCTCCTGGGAGTTCAAGAGTTATTGTGAAATAATTCACTGAAAATCTAGATGGTTCCCTTTTATGTGGCAATTCCTCTATTTTCTTAGCATTTCTTTCTCCATTCCTTCTAAAAAGAAACTGCCACTTAAAATTTCACCAATTCTTGAAGATAGTGTTGACATTAAAAACTATCCAAACAAATAAGTATTTAAACAATATAGCTTTAAAAAGAGTGATATGTAAAGAATAATGCTTATTGTCTCACATGTTGGTGTGGCATATACAAAGACACTATAAGAAATACTGATATATTGTCTTTACCCCCCCACCCCAAAACTCAAGAGACCTTTTATTCTCAAAAATTTTATAGGTGTATATAAATATCAGGAGAGATGTCAAACAGGAAGTTAGATTAACCTATGTGTATATGTGTGTGTAGGTATTTCCACATATGTTTGTATGTATGCACATGCATAGTATATATGCATATGTAGATATGAATTTGGATAATACTGTATATATATATGTCATAGATATACATCTGAATACACATATGCATATATAAATAATGTATATTTATAAAAAAGTTTGCACATCTGTTATGTGTATATATATTCTATATAAATATATACATATCCACATATCTGTCTGTCTCAGGCATACCCAGGCTCTGAAAAGGAAGTTGCATTTCATCTTTGTGCTATTGCATGCCTGTCCCAATGATGAGTGGGGATACAGGGGAAACTCAGTGACTGCTGTCACGGCCTGTCTTTCTTAGATCCAAGACATATGTGTGACACAAGTGCAATGGACTGGTCACACTTACCCATGAATATCCACTGACAATAGCCCAGTCTTTGAGCATTTTCTAGCAACTGATACCTGGCAGTTGATAGCTATTGATGAATATTTGTTTAATAGCTATACATTTTTTTTTGGATAAAAGAATTTCCTTCTAAAGCAACATACATTATTTGATACGTATATTCAAT